TCGCCCTCCCGGTGATAGAGCAAGTTGCCGGATTCGAGGATTACCGTGTCCTCCCCCTCTCTTCGGACTTCGGATAATCCTATAATATGCCAGCGCAACTTGTCTATCTCTTCTTCCAGCTCCACGATCTTCTCGTCAGTCCTCAGGGTGCGTGCGTTGTACGTTGCCAGGTCGAGTCGTCTAAGGTGGCAACCGAACCTCCACCGGAGATTCTTAGCACCCCCTGCCACGCCGTTACCATGGTCGCCACCGTAGCCAGGAATAGCGGGGCCGCCGGGGACTGGGGGCCGTCTCTTTGTTACATTCATAGGGGGGTATTTGCCATAGTTGCCACGCTTGGCGAGCGGGTTGGCAACCGCAGTTTTTTTATTGTAATTTTGGCTATTATCAGGAAGATGCTGCTGCCCATCTCCTGCCTGTTTCCCTTTGTCGCCTTTTACGACACCCACAGGAGGATATGGGGTAGTGGTATTCTTGACCGCCACTACACGGCGGATGGTATTTGCTTGTTAAATATTCATGTTTTAATTGTTTATTTCTCAGTATTCCCGTTAGATACGGTAAAACTAATTATAGCACGAAGTAAGTATAATTGTAGCACGAATGGGTCGGCTCTATCGGGTAAGGACCACGCTCTCACAGAATACCAGCGTAAAATAGCAGCCTAACACTGCTGTGTTTTGTATTGTGAGTGTAAAGAACCGGAGACACTTTTTACTGGAAACGAGGCATTCCATCGTAGTCCTCGCGGGTGATAACGCATCTGCATTTTGATTCTTTATTGAGGATAGATGTAGATGTCTATGGGTCACAGCAACCACTTACTATCAGGTGAACTGTTTGCTCTTTTGTCACCATATCATATAAAAAGACTCCAGGCTGCTACTCAAAATATTTTGACAGAAAAACTTAATAACTGATTTTTTTACCCGACCCGGAATTCGTACCCTTATGATCATCATCCGCGTTTACGACCACTAAGCCAACGAGGCAGTCGTTATAAATCACACTATGAACTAAAATATCTACTGTGAAGACAAACAGCTACTTAACACGGCCGACCAACGCATCTGCAGCGTACGGGCTGCAGCAGCCGCTTTGTACGGCGTAGGACATGCAAAAAAAGGCATCAGTTAAAATGCTGATCACCTAACGCCTCCAACACGATTGTCATACACACCTTATAGAATATGGCTCCAAAAATATTTACAAATAATATTGTACAATATTTACAAAACCTATAATGTAACTACAAAAAAATAAATAGAAGTTTCATTAAGATAAAGTTAATGATGGTTACAAATCTAATAAAGTGATTAATGATAGGTCATTTATTATGTAATCGTGTGATGTTTCAACTCGGTAATTTAAAAATGTATAGGTACATTACACTGTACGAATGTATTGTTTTTTTTTTCCTAATTTAAAAGCCACTTGGTGATTGAAGAGAATCTCTCCTCCCTTCCATATTCGTATGTTCTATCAATGCCATCATTAAAACCACCACCCCTACCGCCAACACCACTCTAACCCCTACGCTACGAAATACAAACTTATTTTTCGCCTGCAAGGGTCAGTTCACACAGAGACGCGACGGTGCTTGAAGAGGCCAGTGGTTTCGCACGATGCATTACGCCGCCGCGAGATTATTCGCGACGTCGCGGCACAACGTCAAGTCGCTGGCAGCGCACCGCTCTTGCTCTTGCTTGTACATACTGCCCCTACTGACGAAGCACCGCTGTATCGTGAATGATGCATCGCGCCACGCTGCGAGACATCTCAAGGTGCAACGCGATACCGCGGGTCGTTTTCGAATTACCTCATCAAAAAGATATACATTTTGTATATCTTTTTATGTGATAAATAAAGTTATATTTTGTATCACGATTTAGGAAGTGCGCGCCGCGTCGCGTTGCGATACGTCTCGGTGTGAAATGACCCTAAACAAGACGTTCGATAAGAAACAGGCTCTGCGATGGTTGAGCGCTTAGCTGTTAAAATCTAATTAGAATTTTAGCTAATTACGTGGTAGAGCCATGCTGCAGCTATATTAGTAGTATAGTTGTAGCACGAATAGGTCGGCTCGACCGGGGAAGGACCACGCTCTCACAGAAAACCAGCGTAAAATAGCAGCTTAACGCTGCTGTGTTTCGTATGGTGAGTGTAGAGAACCGAAAACCCTTTTTACTGGAAAAGAGGCATTCCATCTTAGTCCTCACGGGTGAAAACGCATCTGCATCTTGAGTCTTTATTGAGGATGCGGGAGAAGGTGGACTGTGTGCTCGTTTGTCATCCTATCCTATAAAAAAGGTGATAATTAAAAGGAAAAACGCTTACTTTAAAACACCCATACCCATACAAGACTACAAAGGAAACATTGTGAGTGATTCTGAATGATCACCATGCAATATTGGAATGTTTTCAATGCCGGAACTGATTTTCAATACTAGAGATGTAATTTTGGAATTCTGCTTCCGGAACAATTTAACGTTTAACGCAACTATTTAACGTTTTTATTGTTTCTAGCAAGGAAAAGGTTTGTACAGGATGGAGCTATCGGAAGTTTGGAATTGGAACTGTAGGTTATTTTCTCAGAGTAATTACTAGCATATGTATGTAATTACTCTAAGGTTATTTTGAGGTTGGAAGGTTTGATGACATTTTCGATGTGACAGAAAGTTAGTTTTATGATATAAAAAGTACTCTGTGCTTTCATGTTTGACATTTTTATGAAATGGGTCGCTTTTCGCTTGAACAAAGTTGGGAAATATTAAAAACTAATTTCCAAAGTGGCGAGTCTTCTACAAAATAATTTGATAAAATGTGCCAAAAATGCGGTTTATGGATTAATTTGTGAAGCGAGTTCGTGTAACTAGATAGTTGTTGGCTTGTTGGATAAAACAACGTACTCGCCTAGTGTGCTTCACCGAAAATATCGCTGCTGTTGCTCAGTGAGCGTATACAACCATCCATCATCTTTCTCAAGAATTGAACATTTCACGCACTTGTTTGAGAAGAATTTTGCATAAAGATTTCGGTATGAATGCGTACAAAGTTCAATTAGTGCAAGAACTGAAGCGTTATGACCATCCGATGCGCTTTCGGTTTGCACAATGGGCTGAAGACCGCTTGCTCGAAGATGAGCATTTTTACCGAATAATCACCTTTTCAGATGAAGCTCATTTCCACCTCGAGGGATACGTCAGTAAGCAAAATTGTCGTATCTGGGGCTCAGAAAATCCACACGTCGTCGTGGAGAAACCAATGCATCCATGAGTGGCTGTCTGATGCGGATTTTGGTCTGGCGGCATTATTGCGCCATTTTTCTGACCAAGGAAGGTGATTGATGATGAGCAAGGATGGAAACACCGTTACAGTGAATGGCGATCGCTACCGCGCCATGCTAAGCAATGTTTTGTTTCCCAAAATTTAAAGAGGATGACATAGACGACATTTGGTTTCAACAGGACGGCGCAACGTGCCACACAACCAACGTAACAATAGATCTTTTGCGCACTACTTTCGAAAATCGCATAATCAGCCGAAATGCTGATATCAATTGGCCACCTCGAAGCTGCGATTTGACTCCGTTGGACTTTTTTTTGCAGGGAACCGTTACGGATAATTGTTACGTTAACCATCCAGAGACGATTGACGACTTGAAACATGAAATCGAAATTGCCATTGACGAAATAGAGGCCCAAACAATCTAAAAAGTAACATAACTTTGTAAAAAGTATTTTTTTTTATAGCCGATTCAAATTCTAAATCTTAAATGGTCTAACCCTTCTAACGAAATCAAAGAGAAGAAAGATCAATTAATAAAAAAAAACTTAAAAGCTGTGTGTTTAATTGTAAAATGTTAAATTTTAAATGTTTAAATACAAATATTGGAAGATTTACAAATTAATGCATTAATTTAATTATATACAATATTAAAAACTACAATAATAATAATAAAAAAATCTAAAACTAGAAACTTAATTATCATATAGTCCTACTTCCCGCGGTATCGTGAAATTGCACAAGGACAAACATCCAGACCCGGAACAATTATTTGTAGGCCATACAAATACTTGTTCCGTGCGGGATTCGAACCCACGACCCCCAGCATTGTAACTCTGCCACTGCGCCACGGAGCCGTCAACGATTCGTGCTACAACCGTAATGTAGGTACCGGCAGCATGACTCTACCACGTATTATTAAATATGTAGGTCGATACTTTATTTACTTTATATGTTGCATAAAGTTTTAAGTTATTATTGCGTTTGATTTTAACTTACGTTTAGTATTTTGCAGCACCTGCTGTCACGAGAGCTGGGTTTTCAACGTCCTGACGTCGTAGTTATTCGCCATAACTTTAGCTTTTAACCGACTTCAAAAAGGAGGAGGTTTTCAATTCGAGTGTATGTTTTTTTTTTGTATGTATGTTACGCAATATCTGCGCAGAATGTGAACCGATTTTAATGATTCTTTTTTTTTTATAAAATAGGCTTTACCTCAAGGATGGTCCCATATAATTTGGATTTCAGCCCTGAGGGTAGCAAATAAATATTTTTTTTTAGCAATTTAAAGTCGGTTTTCTACCGACTTCAAAAAGGAGACGGTACTCAAATCGACTGTATTTTTTATGTGTTACCTCATAACTTTTTACTGGGTGACACGATTTCAATATTTTTTTTTATTTGAAAGCTGGTGCTTCACGTATGGTCCCATATAAATTTGATCAAGGTCTGACCAATAGTTTTTGAGTTATTCTTAATAATTTATATTGAAGGCGGTTGTACAAAATTTTTAATTTTATATTATTACTTTTTGTTAAAAGTTATAATTATGATTAATATCTTTAAATTTATATAAATCAGCCTTATTATCGCCTCTAGTTTTATTTTCTTAAACAGTCTAAATATAATATAAGTACAAGTAAATATTACTATTTGTTAATTCTTACGTAAGTTTTTCCATTGTTAGTATTGCAGTACAAATGTAAATAGATTACCTTGATGATAACAGTAGACCGTAACCCTAAGCTCACTGCTAGGGCCGTCTTCCCATACAAGACGGAATGTTCGCCGTGAAGAATTACTTTGCCTGGCGCCGATATTTTAACGTCTGTCCTCTCCATTACTAATGCTTTGTACACACTCGCGACTCGGAAAAGGTTTAAAAAAAAATACACAAAATCTATACTAGTCTAATGTAATATCATGACTTAAATATATTATTGTTGCTTCCACTGTTCCACTGTCAGCGTCTTTTGTGTAAACGCGTGTATCGTTTTCAACTCCTCTTGTAACACTGAATTGACGAGTCTGCGAAAGAAAATAACGGGTTTTTGTTACGTAAATTAACAATATGATGGGGCCGATTTTATTTACGATTGTAATTAGCGTATTGTAATAATTTTATGTGAGTCTTGTTTTCTTTTTTTTTTTCAGATGACCTGATAACAATAATACAGAAAATAATTAGCGACCGATAAAAATACTCGTATAGCTCTTTATAGCTCAATAAACACTCGCTGTATATTTTACGAGTTCCTGTTCCTGTTCCTGTTCGATCTCTGTCAGCACAAAAAAATAATATTGTTATTCTTTTAGGTACAAAAACAAAAACCTTTGCTACTAAGTATGTTATAACTGTACTGTATGTTGTAACTACTAAGTATGCAAAACATATTGTTCGATTGTATAATATTTTTAAATTTTTTTACATACTAGATACGTTTTAAGCAAATAAATATATTTTTATATTATTATCATTATTAAGAGCCGTGGTAGCTCAGATGGTTAGCGCTCGCTGTAAGCTTCACAGTACTCGAGCAACCCTGGTTCGATCCCTGCCGGCACCAATGAAATTGTTAATTGCAATTATAAGTGCTGATTTACCACGTGCTGGGCGGTGAAGGAAAACATCGTCAGGAAGCTTGCATGTCTGAGAAATAAGAAAAAAAAATATATTTCGAAGACATGTGAAGTTCGCCAACACGCATTGGGGCAGCGCGGCGAACATTTCCTTGCCCTAAAACCCTCTCAGAAGTGAGAGGAGGCCTGTCCCCAACAGTGGGAAGTAAATAGGCTGCAACTTTGCTTTTCATTATTATTACTGATTTAGGTACCATGCACGCGGCAGTGTAGAAAAACATCGTGAGGAAGGATGTATGTCTGAAAAATTGAAAAAAAAACTGACGAAGACATTTTTTTTTTAAAAACAACTAGGATTTTCTCATGTATCGTGGGGGCAGTTTGCATAGATTTCACATCCAGACCCGGAACAATTATTTGTAGCCCATACAAATATTTGTTCCATGCGGGATTCCAACCCGCGACCCTTAGCACTACAACACATTGGCTAAACCACTACGCCACGGATTTATCCACATTGGGTTAGCGCGGCGAACACTCTCCTGTCCCGAAATGCTCTCGGTCTCAGATATGAAACGAGGTTCTTTTTTTCTAGAAGTAACGATGTCAAACGAACATACTGTCTACGATGATATAGTATATAACCCGAGGGGACGGCAAATAGACACGACTGGAGAGAGATCAGTAGGAGTAGGACCAGCGACTTTTCGTGCTTTCCCACGCATGGGGGTGAAACACCCCTTACCTTCGGGCTGCTACTGATAATTTCTTGACAGAAAAACCTAATAACTCATTTTGACCCGACTCGAGATTCGAACCCGGGACCTCATGATCGTTTACGACTATTAGACCAACGAGGCTGTCAGTAAGGGCGACGACTTCAGAAGTTTTAAAATTATCTGGCAATTATTTTATTCTATTCAACTGATTGAGCTGAAATTTTGTATACACGTTTAGTTTGGACGACAATGCATGGTTAATCCAACATGGCGGACCACCCAAGATGGTGGACTAGTTATTTTTAATGCACTCCTTCAATATGGGTATCAAATGAAAGTGCTTGCTGAGATTAACACGAAAAATAAAGTGACGTTACACTAAACCCAATATGGCGGACTTCCAAAGATGGCGTGCTAAGTTTTTTATATTTTCCTACAATATGGGTATCAAATGAAAGGACTAGCTGAGAATCTTAATGCGAGTTAAAAAATAAGATTGTGATCAAACTACGTTGCTCCAATCCGTCTGACTCCGCTTGACTATTCGAATTAATCGGCAAACGACCTTGCAACAATGATGCGTTGAATGAAATGAACAGACTGAGAAACCTGTCCAGCGATAACTAAAAAATAAATTAAAAGTAAAAAACTTTTATGTATCTACGTACCTATGCCGCGCTAACAGCGGCTTTCCCTGAAACTTGTCGGACACTACAAGGACTGAGAACTTAGCGCCACAACCGTCGCTTTCATCCGTCACTTCCTGTGAAAAAAGACATATTAGGTCATGCCCTCTGGAGGCGATATAAAAAAAATCCATCACCGCATTTATGAGCAAAAGTTGTAAGAGACGATGGAAAATGCCAGAAAAGTAGAAAGGCTTCTGAGAGATGAAGGTTTTAGGCAGACAGTAGCATCAAAGCTACAGGATGTCTTTTTTTATAGGAAAGGGTGACAAACAAGCACACAGTCCACTTGATGGTAAGTGGTTGCTGTGGCTCATAGACATCTAAATTTACCCTCGACTAAAAATCAAAAGGCAGATGCGTTGTCACCCGTGAGGACTAAGATGGAATGCCTCGTTTCCAGTAAAATGGGAGCTCCGGTTGCAGGAAGTCTATGGATGCAGATGGCTGAGGACTATGCTTTGTGGTGTTCCTTAGGTGAGGCCTATGTTCAGCAGTAGACTTGTGAAGGGCTGTAATGATGATGATGTTGTAAAAGCGTATACATTGCCTCCAGAATGAATTGCAGACTATGTGGAGTCAAGTAACTGGTATTACTAGGTTGTGTCTATTCCTACTTATGCTTTTTATGTAATCCCAACCGGATCCTATATTTGTGCAAAAACATATAATGTTTGTGTGCTCAAGATATAAATAGAAATTGCTTCAGTATACTGTTCTTTAGTTATTTAAAAAATCGTAAAAAAATCCGCAAAATGCCGCTTAGTCCGCTTACTGTTAAACCCGCTAATACCTGCATCCAAATCCAAACCAAGAGGAAAGAATCCCTGAGTTTACTTTGTACTTAGTTATTTCACGCAAGAAAAGTCTAGTGCCTAAATACTCAAACGCTGCACAATTTTAAGATGTCATTAAGTCTCGTGCTGTCTCTATATTTTTTTTTTATAGGAGAGGGGGCAAACGAGCATGCGGCTCACCTGATGGTAAGTGACTACCGCCGCCCATGAACAACTGCAACACCAGGGAGGGAATTGCAGATGCGTTGCCGGCCTTTAAACTATATCTATCACTTTAAGTCAGTTAGTCAACCAGAAGACTTAACGACATCTATAAATTGAGTAGCGTTTGACAATTTGGACACAAAACACTTAAAAAAGAAACATAATTTTGATAATCTTCTTTAAACTATGTTACATATTTGTGATATTTCAGATTTTTCTCAGCGATACTATTAGAGATACGGTTTAGCCCTCCATCCAAATTCTTTTTCTTCTTCATCATCGGCCCTTAAAATCCCTCTGCTGAATCTCTCATCCTGTAGTGAGGAATTGCCTTAATCATCACTCTTAGTAAGCGGGTTAACGAACACAACACCATTCACGTGGTAGAGCCATGCTGCAGCTATATTAGTAGTATAGTTGTAGCACGAATGGGTCGGCTTGACCGGGGAAGCACCGCGCTCTCACAGAATACCAGCGTAAAATAGCAGCTTAACACTGCTGTGTTTCGTATGGTGAGTTTAGAGAACCGGAGACCCTTCTTACTGGAAAACAGGCATTTCATCTTAGTCCTCATGGGTGACAAAGCATCTGCATTTTGATTCTTTATCGAGGATAGATGTAGATGTCTATGGGTCACAGCAACCACTTACCATCAGGTGGACTGTGTGCTCGTTTGTCATCCTATCCTATAAAAAAACCACATCCCATATTAATTAAAGACAGAAAACAGACACAGAAAATAATAAGCTAAATTCCGCGTATAAAATAAAATAAAAATTATGTCTTACCTCGTTTGAAGAACACCTCCTTCAATTGGGTGCACTGTCTCCGTCACCACTTATCCCAACACCACTACTCCCAACAAAAAGCTATTAGCAGTCAGCCATCGCAGTCTGTTTCTCCTGATGATGCTTCGTTTAGAGGCGAAATACTTATCTTATTATTGCTGGTGGTGAGTGGTTGTTTAGTGGTGTTGGAATAAGTGGTGCACTCAATTGAGGGAGGACGGGAAGTGCTCTTCAATCTAGATAAGGCTCATTATTTTATACGCAGATTATAATTTATTATCTTTAATATATGTAATAGATTTCCGCAAAATTACACCTGATTTTATGAATTATCAACCACTAATGGAGATGAACGATTTTTGACCGGTCCTGTGCAGTGTGGACCCACCTCCCGCCGCTAGATGGAAAGGCAAATTGTTTGTATAGTTTAAATATAATTATTTCGGGTCGAAATATTTGTCATGCCGATGGTTTAGTTTGACTTAAAACTGATTCTAGATCAGGCACTAATAGTTGACCTGATCAATTCCACTTTACCTAGCAAGTCATATCAGGCATCTAAAAGGAAAGGGTTCCATTCATTCATCTATTACAGCCTATTAAAGCCCACTGCTGAACATGGCCTCCCCTTAGTCTCATAAGGCGGATACTGTTGGCATGTCCAACAGTATCCAACAATCCAGTAACTTTCCAATGATTTTTTTAAACTATTTTATTAAACCTTAGCGACAAACGAACCTACAGTCCCTGTGATGCTGTGGCCCAAAGTCATCTACATCTATGCTCCAAATGAGTTGTAGTCACCTCTGAGGACTAAGATAGAATGCCTCATTTCCAGAAAACCTCTTTTTTCCCCTTTTACTGAAAAAGAGGCATTTCATCTTAGTCCTCACGGATGACAGCGCATCTACATTTTGATTCTTAATTGAGGATAGATGTAGATGTCTATGGGTCACAGCAACCACTTACCATCAGGTGGACTGTGTGCTCGTTTGTCACCCCTATCCTATAAAAAACCCCGCTTCCGGTTCTCTACATTCACACACACTATACGAGCAACCAACTTCAAACAAAGAAGGTCGAAGATACGTTGTTAGCTCTGATGCTGGCTCTCTATACTTTACTAGAACCCAAACTAGAACACTACTATTTTGCACAGAGTAGAAAGTTGCAGAAGTAGGTAAGAGGGTAGTACTCAGACAAACTCCTGGGAGTCCTACTACCAACTATTTGGTTAGAAACAGCTGTGTTGGACCTCTGATGATGCTTCCCACTGGAAGTGTAGATATTGGCCATGTGGTATAAATAAACCGTATTGTGCAGAAATGATCCAAACCAAAAACTGGCCAGAAATTATCCAGAGCCACTTTTTCAAGTTTATTTCCAACTGTACAAGACTTTTGAAAAATATTAAGTAATCCCAAAATCTACATTCAATTTTCTTTAAAATTATATATATATATATTAAGGCTTCTAAAAATGTTGTTGTTGTGTGTTGAAACATTTCTGCATAACACAGTACACATATGAGATACATATACCAATACTCCAGAATGTGTTTTACTACTACATCACAAGTCCACAGCTGATCATAGGCTTCCCTCATAGATTGCCACAAAGTATGGTCCTGAGCCACATGCATCCATCAGCTGCCTCTATGTTTCATCAGGTCGTCGCTCTTTCTAGTGGGGGAGGGGGGGGGGGGATTTGCCACTCGTGAACCTCTCTTCCCATCGGTTGTGGGTTCTGAGAGCTATATGGCTGGCCAATTGCCGCTTCTGCTTACTGATGTGATTGATGACTGACTGATGATGTTGGGCTATGTTGGTTACTCTTGTTCTTCTGTGGATATCCTTGTTAGGAACTTTATCCTGTAGAGAAATTCCGAGCATCGCCCTTTTTATTTCACGCGGAGTGACTTTGAGCTTCCTCATGCGGCCAGCAGCATAGGAGCACATTTCTATTCCTTAACTCATCACTGGCAACAGAATATGCATTGAAACCTAAGTAACCAACTTCAGCTTCATCACAACACCGTGTTGTGGCAGCATAAGGTGATCAATTACCCCAAGTTATCCTGTGGGTGTTATAAGAGTCGACAGATGAAATTAAACACGAGATGAGGACAGGAACAGTAGCAGCATTTTCCTGATAAAAATTCAAATTAATAAAAACCTGCAATTGCCAACCCAGTTGCCAACCAACATGCAGCATATGCTCTAAAAAAGATTAGAAGTCTCACCAATGTTGCGACAGCGAGATTAGCTTATTTTAGTTACTAGTCTTATGGAATTTTACCATGGGGTAATACGGGCAATTTATAACTTGAATTTTAAAGTCTCTCAGAGAAAACTTTAAAGAAATAAACATATTAAATTTGGCATCGCAATATATTTACGAAAATGTAATGTAAGTACATAAAAACATAAATAGCTTTCATACGAATAAAGAAGTTCATGCTTTAAACACTAGGAACAAACACAAGCTTGTAATACCAGTTACTAGACTCCACAGAGTTAGTAATTCATTTATGGTGCAATATTTATGCTTTTACAACAAAATCACAGAAAATTTAAAAAATTTGTCTATAAATAAGTTTAAATATTTTGTTAAAGAAAAATTGTACAAAAAGGGTTATTATAATATCACCAAGTGCATTATATATACCTGGACTATCATATCTAAAAATACATAAATGTAAATAACCCTTGGGAATGAGGTAATCCCCACCATGCTGATTCTATTAAAATTTATTTAAAAAATTGTACAAAATTATTGTGAAGTAAAACATGTTTAAAAAAATCCTGCTATGTTTCTCGCTAGTTCTTCCCAGGACAGAGGTATTTTCTGAACCAGTGGGAAATAAAAAAATTACATTCAATAGGTGTTATGTATTATTCTACCTAATATATAAAAAATAATGTTTGTTTGTATTTTATGCGCTGCCATACCATTTATCAGATTGCACTAAGACTTTGTCAACTTATTGCTTGCATTTGCAAGAAGGTTATAGGCATATTACAACTAACTTGTGGCGCGCGTATCGTAGGGACAAATTTATTTCAAAGTTATACATCACTCAACTTCAATGAATGTATCATAATTCCTAATCAAACAATATAACTCTTCCAAATTTGAAAAAAATATTTCCAAAATTTATTCATCTGCGGCAGCAATGCACCGGGTATCAGCTAGTATTGAATAAAAATCATTTTATTCTATTCTATTCTATCTGTTAAGCTTGATTAATAAGGAGCATACCTTTATGTGGGAATCTTTGTGAGAGGCCCTATGTTCAGCGGTGAACTTTTAATACACTGTCATAAATACATAGATGAATGAATTAATCAACTTCAGAATTAACATATAACAAATCTTTAAAATGATACATACAAATTATTAACTTAATAATAAAATAGGTTAGCAATACCAAAGTAAATGAGAAATGAAAACATCAGTCGCATTTTCATATTTGACAACTTTATTACATATATAATATAATAAAAATTTTAAACAAACATTTTGAAAGTGATTATTTGGTTTTAAGTTTTGGCAATTCCGGCAAACATTTTGGAATGCAGAACTGTTGGTAATTAAAATAAAGGAAGAAAAGTAAGAAATGTGAACAACTGTAAACTGATATAAGCAGAGGAAACAAATCTGGTAAATTTTTTGGTGGTTTAACAAGAACTATACAGAGGGTCAGAACAAACATACCTAGGAGAGACACAAAGAAGTATAAACTGACAAGTTTAAGAAAAACTGAATTATGGCTCTTGTTCTTTTGTATTGTTTTATAAACTCGGTTGGCATTTAAAAATGTAAATAACCCTGCACTTGGTAAAGATAGCTTTAAAGCAATATTGTAAACACCTAAATAAATGAAACTGGTAGATATGAAAGGGATTAACAGTCCATCTTTGAGAAGCAGTGGAAGCATACTAAAGTTGGACACAAGTAAAAACCAGAAACACATGTAAGGATCTTCTGGTAAATGCAATGCTACAGGAATAGCAACCAGCAGAATTGTCTTCTCGTGAACTTGAAATGAGAATAAAAAGAATGCCAATGATACATTTATAAGAGACAATATAAACTTTTTCTTATTTATTCTAAAAAACAAATCCATGCATGATGGAAGCACAGCGAATGCAGTTGTAATTAAGCATATTTTGGCCATTTTCTCATTAGAATAGAATGATTTCAGCTTAATAAATACATTAATGAAACACCAAACATTTGAAACTTTATCCTCAAAGACACCTCGTTTTAATGGAAATAGTCTGTATACTACTTGTGTTACATTATCCCAGGACCTGAGAAATGGACACCAAATTATAATAAAACTACACACAACAACTATAGCCAATTTATTAAACTCACTCACAACATGGTATAATTTTCTTCTTGGTGGCACATTAATAAAGCATTTTCTTAATAGGTAAAAAAAGAATGGTAATGAATGATAAAGTTCCATTTGTTTATAATTTAATGCAAGAATAAAGCAGCTTGATGCTAATATATCATTTTCTATGGCTACAATATAGAATACTGCCCACATGAATAAGCCCAGGGATACACAATTATATTGAAAGTGACCATGATCTATCAATATTATTCCTGGATACAGCAAAAAAAGGGCTGTCGCTATATCAGTTCTTTTGAATACATTCTTTTCATCTTTCGGCTTAATCCTTTCTGTATCAATACAAAGACATATTGTAGCAGTCACATAAAAATAAATATCGCAGAGAAACACAGTCCATCGCATGAATAGTTTGTGATCTTCATTCTCATAACCTCTAGAAGCGAAAAGACGCACCGATTCCGGATAAAGCCACTCTGCGACTACAGCTAGAAGATACGAGTGATATGCTGTAAGGGGAGGATAATCCAAACCCCAATAATTAAGGTCATTATGAGTTGTATTTCGATACCAGGTTGAAATTGGCGTGTGAAGAGTTATTTCTTGCCAGTGTCGTTGCGCTTCAAAATCGCCATACATTGGCGGCGTCTTATAACCAGAATAAGGATATGCGGCAACACACCATCGTACCAATAACGCGAAAAATACGCCAGGTAACCATATATCTTTTGTAATAACAATTTTTTCCCAATCAGATTTCTTTCCCATACCGGATGATTTGGCACTACACTACAATCAACGCACAGGTCACAGGCCCGTTCATATAATTTATCTTTTAGCTGATTTTTAGTCAAAACTTTGACAGATACAGATTGTACTTACGACGTGAACGGCGTCCAACTCCTTGGTCAATTTTTCTTTTATATATTCCTCAGTATACACCATTCTATGCGCTTTGTATACAAAACGCTATAAAAAAGTAATATTTCATTTACGTTTTCCAAAATAATCTAAAATATCACGTTGAACTTCGTTTCTGACAACTGATTTTTTTTTGGAGTTTATGGCCTGGTATCTAGACCTTTAGGCCAAGTCTTATGTATTTTTATTCGGTTTATTGTAATTTCCCCACTCCTTCATAGTATACTGCTTCACAATATGTTAATGCGTCACATTGTGCAGTTCTTGGGAGATTTTGGCGGCAACTTGATCCAGCAGACAGCTGATAGTTGGCGATGGTATCTAAAGGTGCCTATGCAAACAAACAGCTTATCTTGAGAATCCATCACCATCAGAGCACTTGTTTCACTGTTTCCACTAATAGTTCACATGCGTAGACACTTAATACACAAAATCGCAACACTTTTACATATCAAAGTCCACTTCAAACCATTATTTAAACAATAATACAGGAGCAGCAAACCGCCGCCGGTCAATTTCCCGCCAAAACTCCTTCTGACAACTGACAGTGACACCAGGCTTGCCAACAGTAAAAAATATTTCCTCGTACTTAGGCAGCTAAAAATCTCGTATTTTGAGTTTCAAACCTCGTACATCATGGAAATACATGTACTTTGTACAAACTGGAACCCGCACTCTCGAATGACATAAAAAAACCTTGAAATTTTTCATTACCCCTCAGTCTCTTTCTAATTAGGGTGAACACAAAATACAAGAATTTGGGATATTATGAGGAAAACTCAGTTTATTTTTATTATATTCATTTATAAAATTTTAATTTAATTGAAAATAGTAGAGTTCCATTAAAACGCATGATATTAGAAAAATTCATAAAGACGAAGCTGCGGGAGGAAGTTTATTAATTAATATTATTTATTAACGACACTAAACGAGTGAATGGGCTCAATATACAAAACTTTAACCATGAACTCATACCATCTTCTTCTTCCAGCTCCAGGATCTTCTCGTCAGTCCTCAGGGTGCGTGCGTTATAAGTTGCCAGGTCGAGTCGTCGTAGGTGACAACCGAACCTCTACCGGAGGTTCTTAGCAACCCCTGCCCCGCCATTATCTTGGCGCCATAGTAGCAAAGAAATAGCGGGGCCGCCGGGGACTGGGGGCCGTTTATTATTGTCATGAGCAATGACAATAATAAACGGTCCCCAGGTACCCCGTTTATTATTGTCATTGCTCATGTCAAACCATCATCCTGAGCAAAATCTAAAATAATTTTTGTCCGAAAATGAAAAAAAATAATCAATTTCCCATACAAAATGTATCGGTCACGTGACCAATTTTGTATGGGTAGTCAATTTTTTTTAAAATTTCCATAAAGAAATTCCTTCAGTATCTGACTCAGAATGATGGTCATGATGAGTTCTTTTCTTTCTTTTTTTTTAAAAACGTTACCCCCACACTAGGATTTTCTCCTGTGTCGTGGAGGCAGTTTACAAACATAAATTGCACAAGGACAAACATTCAGACCCGGAACAATTATTTGTAGGCCATACAAATACTTGTTCCGTGCGGGATTCGAACCCGCGGCCCCCAGCGCAACAACTAATTGCTAAGCCACTGCGCCACGGAGCCGTTCGAGCCACGGAGTTCATGGTTAAAGTTTTCGTGAGGCAGTCTTTATATCCCTTATAATGTAACATTAGGTAATAATAAAACTAAAATAATAATAGTTTTTATTTACATTTATTATTACAATAGCAATATTGTCAACAAATTTAAAATATACAATAACAATAATTAGAGGTGAAGGTTTTTACAACAACACAATTTTATACATGATTGAATAGTTTTGTAAAGTTTTTGTCGCTTGGAAGGAACAGCACTCAACTTTTGGTCCATATTTTTTTTAGATGCGTTCTGAAACGCATGGTCAAAAAAGATTTTGAAATTCACAGCAACCACTTACCATCAGGTGGACTGTGTGCTCGTTTGTCACCATATCCTATAAAAAATAATTAATTTTAAAATTCTGGATTAATGAAATTCAGAGCAATTAATACTGTCATCCATAGGCTGATTTTTTTAATAGAAGGATGACAAACGAACACACCGTCCACCTGATGGTAAGTGGTTGCTGCAGCCTATAGACATTTATATCTATCCTCTATTACAACTCAAAATGCAGATGCGTTGTCACCCGTGAGGACTAAGATGGAATGATTCATTTCCAGTAAAAAGGGTCTCCGGTTCTCTACAATCACCATACGAAACACAACAGCGTTAAGTTGCTATTTTACGCTGGTATTCTGTGAGAGCGTGGTCCTTCCCCGAGCCGACCCATTCTGCAGCACAAATACATATATAGCTGCAGCATGGCTCTACCACGTATAGAATACACTATAGAATAAATTCATATTTTCTTTTTCCGTTTCCAAAATGTTTCGAATGAAAGACAGTGTTTTTTTACAAACAGGAACATTTACATTTACTTTTGTAGCATCACGCAGCGGCCAAAATTCCTGAAAAGACACGAAAATCTGATTTTCCAACACTGAATAACAATATATTTATTATGCCCGGGCTACACTAACGAGAAATGCCGTTGATTATCGCGTTGATGGGCGTTGAATGAAGGTGTAGCCACCACTTAACGCGATAATTCTACAACGGCAAGAACAATGCCGTTTCCCGTTGAACGATAACTCGAGTGTCGGTACATCAAAGAGATTAACGCACGAATTAACGCGTTGAAGCGGCCACACTACGTTTGTCTCATTGTGCACGGTGAGCGCAACGGAGTCGCACGTATGGCTACGATAGAGTGGAATAATGAAAAAGTTATTACGTTTCTTGAGATTCTGCAAACAGAGCCATGCTTAGGCAATGGTAAAATATATTCATATAATAAAAATTTACACTCATCAAACATAGTGTAGCAGCGTCAACGTTCATCTTGCTTGAAATTCAAGGAATATTAACGTAAAGTGACCATACGTCCCGTTTTGAAGGGGATTGTCCCTTTTCTCGGTCACCTGTCCCGTTGTCCCCAAACAAATCTCCGGGACGCAAAATAGTCCCGTTGTCCTAAACCGCGAGAAAATTTAAAACTATGAAGTTCGTCAGACACGAACTGTGCGAGAGCGGGACCGACCAAAAAATAACCGAATGGGATAATTTCAAAGTTTTCGCAGAAATTCGTTGGGAGATTCAAACATTTCTCACCAACATTCTCAACATAAATTCTCTTGCATTTTAATCGAATATATTTTATGTATACCTTGTACAAATGCTCCAGTCGAAAAAGTATTTTTCTATTATGAATAAATTGTGGACGTCTGAAAAAAAAAATCACTTACCGGTTCCAGTTCTAAAGGCGATGTTGATAACAAAAATCATTGTAAAAAAAAACTTGCCCTTATTTAAAATTATCACAACTTTATTAAAGCAAATTTATTCCACTGACAAATATAAATATAATTAAAAAATATGTGGCATTTAATAATTACTCTCTGAGGAACTTTGCTTTAATGAAGCTGGTGAACTGGTGATTAATTTTATTTTTCACAATTTGTTAAAATAAAAATAATTATAATTAATGCGATTATAATTATAGTTAACACTAATTGTATAAAGTTACAGTTATTAAATAAATAACAATTTTTTTTATTATTAACCTGCTAACTAGGGAGTACAAATAAACCCATGTCCCGTTTTGAGTTATTAAATAAATGGTGAGTTTACTTTAACGCCGTTCAGCGGCATTGAAGTTGACCTACCCAAGTGTGGCCACTCAGTTTATCGCGTTAAAATTAAGGCAATAATTGTTGCGTTTTTGGGCATTGACGTTTCTCGTTACTGTGGCCCCAGCATTACACTACCTTAATTGCAATTTAATAATAATAATAATAATCTTTTATTTCAAGCAATATTTACATTACATAATGTTAATTAATGTAAACAGAAGCCCATGGATAAATACCTTATTAATTGAAATAACATACATATTTATTACAAAAATTTAAAAACATGTTAATTCCTTTCTATAAGAGCTCTTATATGACTGCAAGATGGCACATCTAACATAGTTTCCCAGGATCGTTTAGAAGCTGCACTAGTTGCATATTCGTCATTTGACTGCAAATATAATTAAGTATTAAATTAAACCTGTGACAATGTTTTCTCATCGTCACTTTAAAATATACATACTTTTATTAAAATATTCGACTCTTCATCATCCTAAACCGTATCAGGTAAATCTGATGGTGGATTTTCTTTGTTTAGATGTGTCTGAAATTAACAATATAAATTCGGTAAACAAAAATATAAAAATCATAGGAAGTAAATTAGAACTACATTTAAAAACATTAAAATAGAAATTGCTTTTTTTTTTATATTGATATCTTTATTTACGGCGATAGCACTTAGAGAGGTGTAACAAAATTTTGAAAAAAAAAATTTCCTGAGACCGCAATTTTGATTAAATATGTGTAAATTTTCATTTAAAAAATTAAAAACAATTAAAAACTTAGCAAAATGTTGTACAAAAACAGCGTGTAATTATTTTTACCAATTATAGCCTAGTGATATAACATATTAAGCTGTTCCTATTTTGTAGGTAACAGAATGCATTTTTCTTACTTACTCAAAAAAAAATTTTGCAATAAGAAATAACAAGTACCTAGCAAAAGTTCATACAGGACAATTTCAAATTCAAATTCTCCAAGAACGTTCTTTATCACACCTGTAATTTTGGTTCGTTTAAGTTCAATTTCCTTGATTAATTTAAAATCCGTCACAACTTCTTTTAATAAATCTGTCAAATGGTCAGCAACCGAGAATGCAATATTGTGCTCCGCAAAAAAAGCAGAAAGTTTAATTTCTGCACAAGCTTTTTCTCTATTTTGTGGAGTTATGCCTCTTTGGAATCCAAGCGATGTTAATGTTTGTGTTTTTCCACTGGATCCGGGTTTGTTGCCTAGGTGTTTCTTGGTAGGGGCATGAGTTTTTAAATTTGATAGTTCAGCTACCGTTGATGTTCCCGGGCAATATGCACATTTAGCTTTTGTTAAATCATTGGTGTCTGGCAAAAGCCAGTCTTTAAAAGTCGGATCGTTTAACCATTGCTGTCTAAAATTTTGTACACGATGTTGCGATAATGTGTTACCTTCCTTTTTTCTTGTCCAACCACCTTTTTTGGGTAATTTTCTAGGCGGAGTCAAAGTAGGCGAACGGTCACTGTTTACGTCGTTATCACTCATTACGATACTTCTATTATACCACTAAACAATGGTCGAAACAACGTAAAGACTAGGTATTTAACAATAAAATCTTCTTTTTTACAAAAACTTCAATTAGCTCCACGTAATATTGTAGCACAACTAAACACGGCCGGGATGCAACGAACGGAACATGTAAACCGCGGCGCTCACCTAAGCTATACCTAGAAATCTCAATAATATACTGTGGGAGACTGGTGCCTAAGCTAGGCTTTACGCCTGTATTTCAGGACGCCAGGTCTCCGCCCTATGGTTGTAATTACAATACTTTTATTATGCACTCGTACATGTACTTTTACATTTATAATTTACATAATATCTCCTTTCATTTACTTAGGATTCTAGATATATTAAAAAGTGGTGCTAGTATTAATGTGTGTGTGTGTGCGTGTGTGTGTGTGTGTGTGTGTGTGCGCGTGTGCGTGTGCGTGCGCGTGTGCGTGTGCGTATGCGTGCGAGTGTGCGTGTGCGTGTGCGTGTGCGTGTGCGTGTGCGTGCGCGTGTGCGTATGCGTGTGCGTGTGCGTTTGCGTGCGCGTGCGCGTGTGCGTGTGCGTGTGCGTGTGTGTGTGCGTGTGCGTGTGCGTGTGCGTGTGCGTGTGCGTGTGCGTGTGCGTGTGCGTGTGCGTGTGCGTGTGCGTGTGCGTGTGCGTGTGCGTGTGCGTGTGCGTGTGCGTGTGCGTGTGCGTGTGCGTGTGCGTGTGCGTGTGCGTGTGCGTGTGCGTGTGCGTGTGCGTGTGCGTGTGCGTGTGCGCGCGCGCGTGTGTGTGTGTGTGTGTGTGTGTGTATGTATTTGTGCGTGCTTTTGTTCGTTAGTTTGTGACTGGGTTAGTAATTAACTTTTATTCGATTAGTAATTAGATAGAATTAGTAAGTAGTTGTTCAGTGTCATAATAATTTAGTTCTTGGAGCCAGATAATTATTTTCTTTTTGCATATAGTTTTGTTAACGTTAAATATAGAGATAATTTTATTGACTTTATTGTATAAGAAACCTCCAAGGTGACAAAAGAAACGTTTAGATAATTTGGTGGATAGAAGCCATCCTTTATCGATGCATTATCGATGAAAAGGTGGATATTATAATAAACTTAGGACTTTGTTTATTACTACTATAATTACATGTCATTTGACAAATAAACTTAATGTTTATATAATTTTAAAACCCGGTGATAGTTTTCTGTATCACTGGTTTTTGCAATGAATTAATATTGTATAACATATATATATATATATATATATATATATATATATAACGAATACATTAGCTGTGTCTAAAATTTTCACCTCAACGAACGTTGCTGGCAAAACGTATCGCTAGCAACGCAGTGACGATAATAGATATACGATAAATATTAATAGAAAGGAATTAAGTGCTAATTAAGTGCTACAAGTATAGGCAATGAAAAGGTAAAAAAGGCCCCTAATAAAAATAATGTCGTTACTCAGAACAAAACAGATGCAAAAATCAGGTCTTCTGAAAATCAGAATAGAATCAAAATCAGGTGTAGAATTAATAGATAATCAAGTGCTAATTTAGTGCCTTCAAAAACACAAAATAGTAACAGTGATAATGGAAGAACAGAAAATTGAAGGATACCTGATTATGCTAATGTATTACGGGATTTTCGTGCAATTCGTGCAGTTGACAATGCAGTTGCCCATGTCATTGATGCAGGACAAAAAATTCAAGGGCCCTAGAACCGAACCTTGAGCCGTACCCTCCGTCACTAATATAGGCTCGCTGTAGTTATTTTTAATTTTCAGTAAAGATTTTCGGTCCTTTAGGTAATTATGGACCCAATTAAGCAATGGACCACATACGCCACATTTGTCTAATCTGTCCACAAGCTGTTCATGTAACATGGTATCAAAAGCACGTGAGAAGGCGATAAATAGCACCTGTCTTTTTTCATTTAGGTGACTATTGACCTCATCAGTGAATTTTGATACAAAACCTGTTGTACTTTTTCCACATTGGATACCAAACTGATACTGGCTTATTATAGTTTTGTGTATTTGCTCGCCTATGAATTTTTCCACAATATTATTTTCACGAAAGTAATGTAATTGGACGATGATTTGAGATGTCATCACGTTTCCCTTTCTTATATACAGGTTTGTTCTTTCAATTGATCAGGATACAAACCACTTTTAATGCTACTGTTAATTAGGTCAGAAATGGTTGGGGAAATGTATTTCTCTATAATTTTAATGACAGAAATCACAATATTGTCGGCACCTGACGCCTTTCTTGAGTTTTTTAATAATTTTATGAACACTACTGGGGGTCGCTTTCTGAAACAGAGTACTGGAGTCGAAGATTTTGGATATATTATTTTGACAGAGGCAGAGCGGTAAAATGTTTATACATGCTATTTGCGAAGTTATCTGCAATAGTTTTGGAGTAGAGTCCCTGTGCATCGAACGCCTTGAGTATAACCGCATCAATAGACAAGGTCATTCTCCCTAACATTTGATTTACAACATTATAAATAGTAATTTTAAATTTTTTTTTAATAATCTTAAAATTACTATTTATTTGCTGAATATAGCATGTATTCTTTTTGGTTTTGAGAACTTTATACACTTTATTGCGTATTTTATTATATTCTAGCCTTAGCTTAGAGTTATCTGGATTATTTTTTCAATTACGATATAATTTGTCCCTTTCATCACAAAGACGACTAATATTGTCGTCATCTAGGGCAAATTCAACCTTTTGGGTTTTTTCTAGGTAATTTGTAGCTTTTAATATTACTGGCGGATTTTTTTGCGGTATGAAAAGAGATAATATATAAAATTTAGAATCTCGTCTAGGGAATTCATATCTTTAGACTTTGACCAAACCACATTTTTAGGTTCCCTATAAAAATCTCGTAATCAATAAATCGTTTTGTAAAACCTGTGAGCGCTTGAGCATTATAGGTGCGTCATCAACGCACGCAAAGATACCTCGACCTCGATGATCCGCCAGTACGACTGTATAACATCGAGCACTGCCGAGAACGGATGTAGTGTGGGGAATCGGGCAAAAATGTGGTATAAGCAAGATTTAAATTTTGTTTAGTTTCAATTCTTGTGTATTCCGATATTCCACACATCAATCCGTGCCCGCTGAGTGCTCCTACATATAAATCCTTGTATGAAGTTGAAGTTTTCAGATCGATGTTAGTGTCACCGATTAAAAGAAAGTTCTGTTTCAATTCAAACTTAGAAATGTAGTTGCTTATTTCACTTACAATCAGGTTTTTATTTGGTGGTCTATAAACTGCACACACAACTACATTTAGTGACGAGTTTAGTTCTATTATACCTGAAAGACTTTCAAACGTTTTACTTTTATGTTTAATTGTGGTAAATTTTAGATGGTTTCGCACGTGATATAATTAGCTATACTAAATATTATGCATATAGTGCACACACTATCACAGTTTCAACGTCCATTATGTAGTAAACGCAAGCAACCTAGTGCGCATACGTAAGTATCATATAAGTCTGTGCTAGTGCTAACTAGCTTGCTACATATTTATTTATCTATGGTGCTAACGTCGCTTCTCTTCTTCTTCTTAATAAATAACTTCGCGGCAGCGCGATGGGTAGAACGGTGAGCAGCGCGAGGAGCATAGCGTGACGGAGCCATTACAAGTTACAACTTCCTGTTCCTTCCTTTCTTACAAATTTACAAAACTATTTTGTCTTTCGTGCTTTCGTGGCTGTCTATTGTTAGTGGGAAGTGGCGTCTAGTGATTATATTCTCTTTGGTGGCGTCGCCACTGCCGTGGCATCGTTGACGTTGGACGTAGGGACGCCGTTTGCCCGTTTACGTAATACGTAATTCTATATGTTAATGATGTTTTATAGTCGCTGATACAGGCACACAGAAATATATGGAGAAAACTACGATGCTTTTTCATTTACCTTACCCACACGACACCGATGTATCGTCGTCTTTTTCGCTAAAGTTTCCATACCTTCTCACCGTTCCACAAGACGGCAATAGCAATAATAGTTAATTAAATGTCAATGTGAACTTTATAAAGTTTTGTCCACAGAGTACGTTTATTTGTCTGCATTTCTGTAGTGTTGAAATTTTAAAAACTCTTGTCAGTTGGACATTTTTTTATTTCAGACACATAGCATATTATTGTAGAAATTTAATTTTTTATCAATTTGGCTTTCAATAAATAAAATGGAAGGGGAATCAACGTCATTAAAAACAAATTTAACAGAGTGGAGGTTCAACCAATATCCAAAATATATTTTGCTGCCAACAGACGAAAACCACGAGCAAATTCGAGCGAACGTTAAGAATGTTATATTTTCTGAGGTGAGTCTATTGAAAATAGTTACAGGAAAAACTTTTTTGTAACTATTTATTTAATTTTATATATTTATCTTTTTTTATTCCCTCTATGTTTATAAACCGACCCACATGTTTTAGGTTATACCACGTCCACTAGACCGTAACGTCCGTTTAGTTTGCGCATCTGACGAAGTTCTTAGAAATATTTTGGATATGGACCCGGGTATAACTTGTCAAGAAGAGTTTCTAGACTTTATCACAGGTCGGAAATTACCTTACGGCGCTTTGCCTGTCGCACATCGGTGATTTAACTTTCCATAAATATCATTTTTATGATATATTTAGATAACTTTTTCATAATAAAATATGCATATTTTTGTAGATATGGTGGACATCAGTATGGATTATGGACTGGCCAATTAGGAGATGGAAGAGCACATATTTTGGGGGAATATGTGAACAGGTAAAATCTACAACCCATAATATTATATTTGAAGAAATACAGTTAAATTTTTAAATAATAACGGCCGCAATATATTACTAAATACAATAAAGGATAATATGCCCATTTAATAAGGAGGTTTTAGCCAAATGGCGTCCATGAATAAAACTTGCCGTCAACGATATTATAAACATATACATACACAACACTCACGCCTGTAATCCATTTGGCACGATCCTGACACACCTCTCGCCTCCTCCACATCCATATACCTACGCATACATGCTCGTCGGTTAAGGGTACTCTTAGGTCTTACTTGAGGTCCTCAAGAATTGAACATTTCACACACTTCTTTGAGAAGAATTTTGCATAAAGTTCTCGGCATGAATGCGTACAAAGTTCAATTAGTACAAGAGCTGAAGCCGCATGACTATCCGATGCGTTTTCGGTTTACTCAATGAGCCGAAGACCGCTTGATTGATGAGCATTTTTACCGAAATATCATCTTTTCAGATGAATCTCATTTCCACCTCGAGGGATACGTTAGTAAGGAAAATTGTCGTATCTGGGGCTCAGAAAATCCACACGTCGTCGTGGAGAAACCAATGCATCCACAACGAGTGACTGTCTGGTGCGGATTTTAAAATGAGCAAGGAACGCCCTTACAGTGAATGGCGATCGCTACCGCACCAAGCGATTTTTTGTTTCCCAAAATTAAAGAGGATGACATAGACCACATTTGGTTTAAAGCAACTTGGCGCAACTTGGCAACAACGGAGTTGGCACCGGTTTTAACGTGTCTTTTCCGGTACTCCTACACCCAAGGCGTAGTCCCAAATTCATGGAAGACAGCTTTGGTCCCCTCGATCCCTAAAAACGGCGACCGCTCAGACCCGTCCAACTACAGGCCTATCACCATAATCTCCTTGTTCTCCAAAGTAATGGAATCCATTATAAACTGCCAGCTCATGAGGTACCTTGAGGATCACCAGCTGATTAGTGACTGCAAGTACGGTTTCCTTTGGGGTCGATCAACTGATGATCTTCTGGTCTACCTGACTCATAGATGTGCGGAAGCAGTAGAGTCCAAGGGGGAGGCATTGGCCGTTAGTGTGGACATAGCGAAGGCCTTCGATCGGGTCTGGCACTAAGCGCTTCTTTCGAAGCTTCTTTTCTATGGGCTTCCCGAGAAATTGTGCAAGGTCCTAGTAAAGGCTGCATTAATGCTGGTGTTCCACTAGGCTGCGTGCTATCACCAACGCTGTTTCTCCTGCATATCAATGATATGTTGCAAACTAGTAACATTCATTGCTATGCAGACGACAGCACTGGTGATGCCTTATATACCGGCCGTGCCAATATTTCTCGGGAAAACGTCGCAAAGTACCGGGACAAACTTGTGTCTGAAGTCGAGTCTTTGCTGAACAAAGTCTTGGATTGGGAGCGACTAAATCTAGTCCAGTTCAATCCTCAGAAGACACAAGCTTGTGCGTTTACCGCTAAAAATAACCCCTTTGTCGTATCTCCTCAGTTTCAAGGCACTCCCCTTGCTGCCTCACCTAGCATCAGAATCCTTGGCGTCGACATATCAAATAGTGTGCAGTTTCGTGGTCACTTGGAAGGGAAGGCCAAATTGGCCTCTAAAAAGCTTGGCGTGCTCAGCAGAGCGAGACAGTATTTCATGCCGGCACATCGCTTGCAAATTTACAAAGTGCAAAACCGGCCTCACATGGAATACTGTTCTCATCTCTGGGCCGGTGCACCCCAGTCCCATCTCGTTCCACTTGACCGCATCCAGCGCAGAGCGGGTCGAATCGTCGACAACCGAGTTCTTTCTGATCGGCTCGATACACTGGCGCTGCGTAGGGATGTTGCATCCCTTTGCATTTTCTATCGAATTTACCACGGGGAGTGCTCTGAGGAATTGTTCGGATTATTATCAGCCGCCAAATTTCAAGAAGGCACATCGCGTCAAAATTCACGTTACCATCCTCACAATCTGGATGCTTGGCAGTCCACGACTGTGCGTTCTACGAGGAGTTTTCTTCCTCGTACAACTTCTCTGTGGATTTGTTTACCACCGGCGATTTTTCCGGATCGATACGACTTAGGGACCTTCAATAAAAGAGCTTACACCTTTCTAAAAGGCCGGCAACGCATCTGCGATTCCCCAGGTGTTGCGGTTGTTCATGGGCGGCGGTAGTCACTTACCATCAGGTGAGCCACATATTCGTTTGCCCCCTCTTCTCTATAAAAAAAAAAAAACTTGCCACACAGCCAACGTAACAATCGATCTTTTGCGCACTGTTTTCGAAAATCGCATAATCAGCCGAAATTCTGATGTCAATTGGCCACCTGGAAGTTGCGATTTGACTACGTTTGACTTTTTGTGTGGGGAGCCGTTAAAACAAGTGTTCCGCTAACCATTCAGAGATAATTAATGACTTGAAACATGAAATCGAAGTTGCCAATGACGAAATAGAAGCCCAAACAATCGAAAATGCACTGAAAATTTGGACTGATCGAATGGGGTATTGTAAGGTTAGCCGTGGCAGTAATTTGAATGATGTTGTCTTCCATTCCTAAATGAAAAGGTTGAATCTTTCTAATTAATTCGTAACTTAGATAAACTATTTATTAGGTTTTTTATAGCCGATTCAAATTCCAAATCTTAAATGACCGACCCCTTACTTTCGTCACCAAACGTTCCCAATACCCTTTCATAACCAAACCTCTTCACTCCAACCCTTCCATTAAAGTATCCTAATATAACAATATTTTCATTTCTCTTACATTTCATTAACACCATCCTTACCATCTCTCAAAACTGCTCTAGGATATGAGGGGGCTTATATATGTCTGGGGCTTCAACTTTAAATATAGTTAAGACTACTTAGCTTTTTACCCGCGCCTTCGCTCGCGTGCGCTTGAATTTAGGAACATCATTAAATGATGTTCTGTGCCAAATTTAGAAAAATTTCGATCACTTTAAGGCTCGCCACATACATACGGAATTCCGTTTCGAGATTCCGTTTCGGAATTCCGAACGGATCGGCCACACACATACGGAATCCCGTTTTGTCCGCAAAATTTCGAACGGAAAACTACCGTACGTGTGTGACGGACCATAGATTTTATATGGACTTGCTGCGTTCGGGATTCCAAATCGGAATATCGAAACGGAATCCCGAAACGGAATTCCGTATGTATGTGGCCAGCCTTAGAGTCACCTCGGTGTCTATCTGTATGTCTCTGTCTGTCAAAGATTTTTTTTCATTCTAAAATACTATTAGACGTAGATGATGGGTAACATGCTACAGAAACACGTTAATATATATGTCTAGAAACACCTACTATTTTTTATAGCGGGCGTGTCTTCCGATACCGATGTATCCATAAGAAAGGTAAATAGTCTTGAAATCAAAATGTATTATTATTATTTACATTTTACTCTTTACATTTATTCATAGTTAAAGTTAGTTTTAACAAAGTAATAAATTAGATGTAAATATTTTTTTTTACTTCGAGTAGACTTGAAAATTTCATAAATACAGTTCTATAATAATGAATACTACACATGGATTAAAACTAATGTTACGGGTTTTATTTACGCATTTTGGATGAAAGTTCCAAGAACAACATATCGTTGATGTGAATCACCGAAGTTCCGGGAAGTCTAAAGTATGTCAACATGTTTAGTATCGTCCCAACCATTATATCGGATCTGATAGACAACAAATCCTTGCAATAGAACACCGAATCCTACCAATTATGATTCGCAAGCGCCTCTTTGAAAGAAAGTGTTGTATTTACTGTAAGTAAAATTAACAAATTTTCATAGTGCAGCTCAGGAGGTGGATATTATTTCGAAAAGTAAGCAAAAATCAATAGGTATTGAAAAATTGTATATATTAGAAAAACATTTACATAATCACGACATAAATTGTACGAAATGCAAATTATTTATGATAAATTACGCTGAGAAAATGTAATAATAAGAAAATAAAAAATCATAATTGAAAAAAATATAAAATGAAATGCCACCATGGAAGGTATAAAATGAAAATTATTTTCTATGAATCCTATTGAAACAATTCAAACACATTTGTTTTTCACACGCAGAGCAAAATGTATTTACGCGTTTCGATTTTTTCTAGCAGATTCGGTTGTTGTAAAATGGTCGTAACAAGGTCTGTTTTCTCTAACTTGTGTTTTGTCTTTTTTTGTGCATGGGGCCAACCGTCCTCTGCAGCGTCATCGGGTTGATTATCAGTGCTGGGCTTGCTGATCATCTCTTTTATAATTTGTTCCCGAAATTCTAAAATACTTTGTTTTTTCCTGCTCCAAATTTTTGGTGAATAACCCAAGCATTTTACCAACATTGTGCCACAGACAATCTCAATGATTAGCTTGTGGTACCATTTTAGGGTTTTTCTAAGGCTGGTATAGTACGACACCATCTGATCAGAAATATCTACCCCCTTTTTCGCATTATTATAATCCAAAACAGAGTCTAGTTTCTCTACGACAGTGTTTGGCCTCCAGCGATGTGGCCTTGGCACTAGAGCTCCTCTATGATTATTGCTGGTCGAAAGCATATGAACTGTACGTTTGTCGGTCCATTTTATATATTTGACACCCGTTCCATTCTTCAGAGCCAACACTTGACCCTTTATCTGCTTGGACTTTACCACTTGCTTTGGTAGATGCTTGTGGTTCTGTCGAACTGTGCCACACAAAAAAGTCTACTTGTCCATTAGAGTTTCTGCTAGTGGTACGCTTGTATAAAAACTGTATCACTGTAGAACTGCGACTTTTTCTGTTAGCCCATTCATTAGTTTCGTAGTGATTTGTTGAGGGTGACCTTGACCTGGAACGCCATCAACTCGTCCTGTGTATACTTCTTACTATATTACGATTACTAGCTTATTAGAAAGAGAGAGAAAGCATAATTCCTGTCTAATCCTGTCCGTGTCAAAAAACGTCGGAAATTTAAAAAGTTAAAATGAAACGCGATAAAA